CAATGAACCACTAAAGTCACTTATTGCTTTTCTCTCTCAGCCTTTCACCCTCCAAAGAAACAAATCCTCTTTTCGTAACTCAAATACTTTGCATAACATGAAAATTCAAAAATATAACTTACTTTGACAAGCATAAACGAAGAATAGAATTAATACTGGAAGAAACTAAGAAACTTGAAAATGAAAGCCTACTATTTATTTATTCCTGAATAAGAAGACTCTCCATTAATCCAACTCATTCTCAAAATTATTATCTCAATTCATACTCCGGAACAACATGGAAAGAGCAGGAATAATGGAGAAGCGCTCAGAGAAAACCAGGGTTTCCCTGGTGGCTCAGATGGTAAAGAATCTGCCTGCAATGCAGAAGGCCTGGGTTTGATCCCTGGGTCGGGAAGATCCGCTGGAGAAAGGAATGGCAACCCACTCCAGTACTCTTGCCTGGAGAATCCCATGGACAGAGGAGCCTGGCGGGCTACAATCCATAGGGTCGCAAAGAGTCGGACGCAACTGAGTGGCTAACACTTCACATCAGGGACAAGAGCTAATGAGCGCCTTAGTTTCTCCTCTCAGCAGCCATGAAGCTGGAGAAACGCAGTCTTAAAGAATACAGAAGTAAAAATGGAATTCAAGTCACTCTCATTTGATGAATTGATATAATGAAAATTATTTCCATTGTGTTGTAAATCCTACAGTTAATCAAGGCAAACTAAAGGAGAATTCCTGAGAATGGTTACACACGGCTCAAAGGAGCAAGGGTACTAAGAAGGTCTCCCCCAATAGTCACAAATTAGAAGAGGAAGACCAAAAAACAACAGTGAGTGTGAAATGAGGCATCAAGACCAAGTTTTAAATCCCCCTGTTGCATAGTTGCAACTTACCAGCTATGACCTTGAGGATGTAGGTTAGTTTCTCTAAACCCACAATTCTCATCTGGAAAATGGGAATAATAATAATACCTCTTTCACAGGACTGTTGGGAAAACTGTGCTTTGCTTAGCATCACACCTGCCCATTGTAAATATTTTATTATTACCATCTGGGATGTCTCTGAGTTTCTACAGCAAAGAAAGAGCACTGGTTTGCTGCCAGAAATGAAATAACACTAATACCCACAGATCTTGGAGAAGGACTGATCAAGAAACAAGAAAGGACACCAAATTTTACCGGCACCAATTAAAAAGGATGTCTTATAGCTCTCCAATTCTCAGAGTAATCAATGCTTTGGAAACTCCTATCATAGCTCATTGGGCTTCCCTTGCTCAACTGGTACAGAATCCACCTGCAGTGCGGGAGACCTGGGTTTGGTCCCTGGGTTGGGAAGATCCCCTGGAGAAGAGAAAGGCTCCCCACTCCAGTATCCTGGCCTGGAGAATTCCATGGACTGTACAGTCCATAGGATCACAAAGAGTCGGACTTGACTGAGTGACTTTCACTTTCACTTTTCATCATAGCTCATCAGAAAGATGATAAGGCCCAGAAAGATGTTAGCTAAGTATCTTAACTCAAGATCTTAATCAATACTCATTTAATTAACTGATTTAAATTTTCTGGCAATAGCCATAGAAATCATATGGATCTCTTGATGTATGTAATGTGTGTAGACAAACTATTTCAAAAGTTCGTTGCAAAACTATCACTTCTTAATCTTTTCTTTTACGTTCAGAAAATAAATAAAGAATAAATACAAAATGAAATCCAGGAAATTTGTAGTTTGGTAGCTAATTTGACTTAAATGTTTTTAAAAACTAGTGAAACTTCTGTACTATAGTTATCTTGTATAGAAAATTAATAAAATATAACCTTTTTCTTAAAAGAGGAAAAAATAAATATCTATTATCTTAGGAGCCTAAGAAGACAGAGCATATTAATAAATTTTTCTTTCCCTTAACACGATAATTAAGGATAGAATGTAGTTGAAGGTCATTTTCCCTTGATCATCTCATTTTTGGAAACCTCGATTTTAACTGCACTATGCAAAGGCGCTGGACTATTTCAGCTATTTCATGCTACAACAGCATTTTCCAAAAGCTAAAAAAAAAGATAAAACTTTGTCTAAAAGATCAAGTTGTAAAAATAATATATACTGTTCAATATGTCATTCTAATAACAGATTAAGTAATTAAAAGAGGATGAAATATATATCAAATGTATGTAGGCATTAATTCAATCATACAATGACTTTTTAGGTATATGCAAGTTTATGAATTAGACTCACTATTAGAATGATCAAAACAAAAAGCTGAGAAATACATTTTTAAATAATGTGGAAAGGCCCCCATAGGCAATTCAAATTTCAATTACTTTAATGCTTGTCCTCATTAAAAACACCTACACCTCCTAATGGATAAGATTTTTATCTTTATCATTTCTTTATCTTTAGGGTATGAAACATTACATTGTACTGAATAACTGCTTGTTGAATAAATGAGTATTCGCATAGCATATTTTCATTGAAATCAGCAATTAAATATACGAGTTTACAAGATATATATATATTTATTGAAAGCCTTTCTAAAATATATTTCTAGGGGCTTCCCTGGTGGCTCGGTGGTAAAGAATCCACCTGCCAATTCAGGAGACACAGGTTCGTTCAATCCCTAGTCCAGGAAGATCCCACATGCCGCAGGCCAACTACACCCTTGTGCAACATCTATTGAGCCTCTGCTCCACAGCCAGGGAGCCGAAACTACCGAAGCCCGCATGCACTAAAGCCCAAGCTCCACAAGAGAAGCCACTGCAATGAGAGGCCTGCACACCACACCTAGAGAGCAGGCCCTGCTTGCTGCAAATAGAAAAAAGCCTGCCCAGCAATAAAGACCCAGCACAGCCAAAAATAATAACATAAATAAATAAAATTATTAAAAATAAAATATTTCTATTATATAGTTAAAATGATGACCAATAAGTTTATCTGGTACTAAAACCCATGCTACGTATTTCATTAAAATCCTTCACCTTTGGACTTTTCTGTTCTTTCAATAACACTTTTTCTGTCAATTATGGTTTAAAAAGAGGAAAAGAATTCAGATTTTATTTCAATTCTGATTCAGTCTAGAATTGATTTGGAAAAAGAATTACTAAGGAACAAGGAGAAACAGTGACATAATTAAAATATATTAGGACTGGAAACTAAAATACTTCACTGCTTTGCAGGAAAACACTGTTATTCCTCCTGTTTTTTAAATTTCTGATGTGCTCAAAATCACTTGCAGGAAAGTGGTGATGCTGCAGTCAGATGTTGTCAGTACTTCCATTCCACCTGCCTGAATGAATTAGGTAGACCAAGATGACCAATAATTCCAGCAACCCATTTCTACATCCTATGCAAATTAATGCACCAATCACTGAAAAAGTGCTTCTGTAAGGTCACATAAATGAAAGGCTGAACAGACAATATCAATTACTTGTATGTTGCAGCATGATGTCATTTACACAGCTTCTAATTAGGAAGTCCTCTAAGTAAAGTATCTACTCTGCAAAACAGCAATGACCTTTCATGCAAATTTTTCCTAGTAGCTATTTTCATAATACTATTTCTTAAATCAGCAGAATTATCCTAAATATAGAATGAGACTTCAGAGAGATTCCTATGAGTATTTACATTCTACTAAAATTAACATATTTTACTTCTTCAATGCTTATGTAACTATGTACACATACATACACACATATTTAGCCAAATAGGAATAAAAATTATTTTTCCTGTAGGATATTATTTTTTTTTATATTGCAAATAGTAATTTTGCCTTCATTTTTAGCTGGCTAAATATCACAAATAAAGGTGTAATGATGCCAGCTACCACAATTTCTCAGGGGGAAAAAAATAGCTCCAAGTGCAATTAAAAATGTATTGTCATAAAATTAGTCTTGGATTCTATAAGCATTTAAAACCTTAACAATTTCATTGAGACATAGAGGGCCATTAAAAAAGTACACATTGATTTTTTTAGTCATTGCATTTAAAATGCACATTAAAAAAGGTTATTCCTAAAATACATTATCAATACACATTAAAATTCAAATGCGGCAAAGACCTTGTTAAGTGTCAACCAAATTTTACTGTCATATCATAAATTCTAAAGCTTCTGGGTTCTTCAAAATTTCCCCACAGCTTGGAGAAAAACCATTCTGTTTGACATGATCTTCCTGCTCCATTATCCAATTTTATCCTGTTTCTAAGCAGGAGTTCAATTATCTTTGGTAAAGAGGTTGCCTGTGGCAGTCAGGGGATCATATTCTCACACCCATACATTACCCTGGCCCAGGGCTCCCTGACACTTAGCGTTACTACTGCGATAACCTAAAGCGCTAATGCTACAGCTCCTGACAACGAAATGGTAGCACAAAAAGGAGAGAAAAAGAGCTCTTTTAGATCCCGAATCACAGATCACAACCAGATGGAGTACTCTCATGTTTTAATATTACCATATAAACAGAAAACAGGGCTTATTCAGACAGCCAAAGACATGTGCATCACCGCCCGCCCGCCCTTGCACTGCTGGGGAAAAACTGTGTCTCTGCAGACGTCGGGAGAACAGGAACACATGTCTTCTTTCTAGTACTAAGGTCTAAGACAGGGCTGCAATTGTTGGGTGTAGCTCGGTCTGAAAGTTGAGAACTGGTAAGCAGCCTCTAGACACGGTGACTTCTCTCCCGAGGGCGGGACGCGAATGCTGCCAGCCGTCCCTCGCAAGGTCATCAGGGGGGTGGGGGTCCAGGGTAGATGCCCCCATGGGGGCGGCAGGGGCTCCTTTCTCGTGGTGTAGCGCCGCAGTGGGTCATGTGATAGCTGGGCGTGTGCCTCTGTGCGCTACGGGGAGACGAGTTTGCGGGCTGTGTTTGAGCCTGCGTGTGTATGTGTGTGCGCGCAGAAGTTACACGTCTGGTTCTGGAGAACGCGTTTTTCCAGGAGGCGTGTGTGTGTTTCTGTGCATGTTTCTCTGCTCCCGTGTGAAGCGAGACTGAGAAAAGGGGATTCCGAGAAGGGTCCTGGGCCAGGCGACGCGGCCAGGTCCGCCAGCGTCCGTCCCAGCCGTCAGCCTCTGCCCGGGGGGCCAGGACCTCGTCCTCCGGGGCGGCGAGGACAATGGGGTGCCGCGCCCCTCCCCGCGCCCCGTGCACCCACCTGACGAATCCGCGGCGGGTTCGGCGGGGTGGAGGCCCCGCCTTCCGGGGCCGGGGAGGTGGGAGAAGCCATCTTCCCGGTGCTCCGGTTTCCTCCTGCTGTCACGCCCGGGTCTCTCGGGTCTCCCGCGGCTGCTCAGCGCCGGGCCTGCCGCCCGCGGCCCCCGCCGGGCCGGGAGGCTCCTCCGCGGCCCCGCCCGGCCGCTCCGCCGCAGAGCGCGAGGGGCGGCCGCCCCCGGGGCTGGTCCGGCCCGGCCGGGAGTCCTGGCCGGAGCCTCTCGCCCCCTGCCCGCGCCCACCTACCTCCCGGCGGGGAGACTCGGGGCCATGGCGGGCGTGGCCGGGCGCGAGCGCGGCCGCGGGGCTGGGTCGGCGGCGGCTGCTTCCCGGGGCCGCTCGCCGCGCGTGTGTCTGGATGTGCGAGCGGCGGGGCTTATTCTAGCGGCGCCGGGAGAAATGCGGCTGCTTCCCTCGCTGCTGCTGCTGCTGCTATCGCCGGGAAAGCGATGAGCTCATGGACAGCTCCCAGAAATATGTCTATATGCACCACTGGCTGCCGGCGTTCGGGAGGTGGGTGGGGATAAGGAGGCTCCTCGGCGGGCGCTCCCGCATCACAAGCAGACGTTCCCTCCGGAGGCCCCCGGCCGCTGGGGCGCGTCCGGCTGTTCCCTGCGCGTCGCCACACTCGCTCGGCTCTTCTCCATTCATACCGTGCACACACGTCCCATTCAAACGTGTTCTCCCTTGTCCCGTTGTGATAGGCACCCACCCCACCGCTAGCCTCCGCAGACACGCATTCTTTGTTCTGCCAATCACTCCCTCTTGATAAGGAGGAATTAATTTCTGGAGTGACCGCAGTGTGAAGAAATGCCACTGCGACTTCACCTGTGTCACATGTGAGCTGGCTGAGTGAAGTGACTTCAGCCGTGTGTCTTTCACGCTTTGGGCGTTTCCAACTTCCCCAAGATCCAGCTTCTCCCTTCCCGCCTTCTTCACTTTGAGAAAGCATCTTCCAGCTACTGTACAGGGTTGGTTTGGCCCCCATCCTCACTAAGACAGATGGCTCGCCTTCTGCAGCACTCTGAAGAACTGAAAGGGCAGGACCAGGTTTTGCAGACCCTCGTCTGTGCCAGGCCTCGTGGCAAGAGAGGTGAATTCCCGCACAGGGGCATCACTTTCTCAGGAATGCAGCTGGCACTGTCATTGAGGGCAAACCGCTTTCCAACACCTGATCATTATCTCCCTCAGCTGCCTGAGGAAGTGGGAATTATTATGGAAGTGGGAACTATTATGACTCTTTACAGATACGAAGATGACTCTCAACAGATTACTTCGTTGCCTCCTAATTTTCCCATCGCCACAGACAGGCTCCTCTGCCTTCTTTCTCTCTCCCCCAAGCTAGTGTTCAATTTCTACACTGCTTTCCAGCAAGATCCTCTATAAAGTTTTAACATCGCCAGTTCCTCTCTTCACATTCTTCGTTGAACCCACTCCAGGCAGGCTTTCTTCCACCTTCTACACCAAACTTTCTCTTGACAAGCTTCCCAGTGACCCCCACAGTACTATGTCTAATGGTCACTTCTCGGTCCTCATTTGGCTTGTCCTCTAAACAAGAGTTTTACAAATCACTCCTTCCTTCTTGAAAATGTCTTCCCTTAGCCTCTGGACACCATTCCCTTTCGATCATCTCCTTACCTCACCGGTTGCTTGTCCTCAGTCTCCTTAACTTGTTCTTTCTCATCTTTCAGACCTCTACACTTTGAAATGCCAAAGAGTTTAGTTCTGGGACTCCTTTTCTTCCCTATCTCAATTGTTAATCAACAACTCTGTGGTGGATCTCACAGTTTCATTGCTTTGAATAGAATCTATATTCTGATATGTATGTCTAAATGTGTCTCCATCTCTAATCTTCTCCGTTAAGTTCAAACCTCTATTGTCAACTGTCTTCACCTCTACCTGATTGATATCTAAGAGTATGAAACTGATCATGTGCAAACCTGAGCTGCTTTTTGGTTTTAATTGGAAAAAACTGGGCTCTGTTTTATCTTTCACTGCCAAATTAACTGCTCTAGTATAGCTTTGCCCGCCTTTCAGATGCTCAGGACAAAAACCTCAGAGATATTTTTAATTCCTTATTGTTCTTACAATCCCATTTGCTCTAACAGCAATTCATACAGAATCCAACCACTTCTGTGTTCCCACCACAATCTGTCTAGTCCAAATCACCTTTATCTTTCATGTGCCTGATAGCAAAACTCCTAAACAGTCTATTTCTCTACCCTTGCTCCTCACATGTGGCTTACACAGAGCGTCTAGGAGGGCTCAAAGTCCTCCTGTGTCTTCCCTTCTCACTCAGAGTAAGAACCAAGGCCTTTCCATCTTCTGATGTAAAATTAAGAGCTGTGTAACCTATCCTCCATTCCTGCCCACCATCCCTCGAACTTTATTTCCAGTCGTCCCCTCACTCACCATGGCCACACTGACCTTGTTTCTATGTTTTGGTTTTGAGCATGCTAGGCCTACTCAGGTCTCAGGTCCTCTGTATCTGGACCTCTCCTCCCCTAGATAACAGCATGGATCATTTTCTTACTTCCTTCAAGCCTCTGCCACTAACTCCTTATCAGTGAGGTCTTCCTGATTACCCTGTTGTGGGGTACATTGTCAGTTCAGTTCAGTTCAGTTTAGTAGCTCAGTCTTGTCTGACTCTTTGCGACCCTATGGACTGCAGCACACCAGGCTTCCCTGTCATCCCAAAGCTTACTCAAACTCATGCCCATTGAGTCACTGATGCCATCCAACCATCTCATCCTCTGTCGTCCCCTTCTCCTCCCCCCTTCAATCCTTCCCAACATCAGGGTCTTTTCCAATGAGTCAGTTCTTCGCATCAGATAGCCAAAGTATTGGAGCTTCAGCTTCAGCATCAGTCCTTCCAATGAACACCCAGGACTGATCTCCTTTAGGATGGACTGGTTGGATCTCCTTGCAGTCCAAGGGACTCTCAAGAGTCTTCTCCAACACCACAGTTCAAAATCATCAATTCTTCGGTGCTCAGCTTTCTTCATAGTCCAACTTTCACATCCATACATGAACACTGGAAAAACCAAAGCTTTGACTAGACAGACCTTTGTTGACAAAGTAATGTTTCTGCTTTTTATTATGCTGTCTAAGTTGGTCATAACTTTTCTTCCAAGGAGCAAGCGTTTTTTAATTTCATGGCTGAACTCACCATCTGCAGTGATTTTGGAGCCCAAAAAAGTGAAGTCTCTCGCTGTTTCCACTGTTTCCCCATCTATTTGCCATGAAGTGATGGGACCAGATGCCATGATCTTAGTTTCCTGAATGTTGAGTTTTAAGCCAACTTTTTCACTCTCCTCTTTAACTTTCATCAAGAGGCTCTTTAGTTCTTCTTCGCTTTCTGCCATGAGTGTGGTGTCATCTGCATATCTGAGGTTATTGATATTTCTCCTGGCAATCTTGATTCCAGCTTGTGCTTCTTCCAGCCCACCGTTTCTCATGATATACTCTGCATATAAGTTAAATAAGCAGGGTGACAATATACAGCCTTGATGTACTCCTTTCCCGATTTGGAACCAGTCTGTTGTTCCCTGTCCAGTTCTAACTATTGTATGTGCCCACCCTCCAAAATGCAGATATTGAAATCTGAATCCTTATTATATCAGAATGTGACCGTATTTGGAAATAGAGTTGTTACAGATGTAGTTAACTAAGTTGAGGTCATACTAGAGTTGGGTGGGTGCCCAGTCTGATGTGACCAGTGTCCTTATTAAAAGGGAAAATTTGGACATAGACATATAGATAGGGAAAACACCTAGAATGTGAACATTAAGACAGAGATTGAGACAATCTACCCAAAAACCAGCACACGACCAGACTCCAGCAAAGCAGCATGGAATAGAATCTCCTGCACAGCCCTCATTAGGAACCAGCCTTGTGGAGCTGTATCACAGACTTCTAGCCTCCAGCACTGTGAGACAATAGATTTCTGTGGTTTAAGCCACCTGCTTGGTGGTGCTTTGTTATAGCGCCCCTAGAAGATTAATATATGCTATAAGATAATAACACCCTACCTTTCTTGTTTCTGTTACTTTGCAGAGCATCTCTCCTGTACACTTATCACTGTCCTGACAGTGTTTATGTATTTACTAATTGGTTTATTGACATTCACCTATCACTAGACGGTAAGTGTGAGGACAGGGAAGTGGTTTTTCACTGGTTTTTTTTTTTAATTTATTTATGACTCTGCTGGATCTTTGTTGCCATGTGCAGACTTGTTGTAGTGAGCAGGGGCTACTCTTCATTTCAAGGGTGCAGGCTTCTAGCAGTGGCTCCTCTTGTTGCAGAGCACAGGCTTAGTCACATGGGCTTCAGCAGTTGTGGCTCATGGGCCCTAGAGCTCATGGACTCAGTAGTGGTGGCACACAGGCTTCGTTCCTCCACCGTATATGGAATCTTCCTGGACCAGGGACCGAACCTGTGTCTCCTGCATTGGCAGGCAGATGCTTAAGCGCTGGACCGTCAAGGATGTCCTGCTCACTGTTAAAAAATACCTAGAACCTCCAGCACTTTGTACAGTGCCTGACACATTGATGTTCAATAAATATTCATTAAATGAATTAAGTATTTTTGTCAAGTTTGTTTGAGTACAGAATCATTATTTAAATTATAGTTCAAATCTTCAAGCCCAAACTCTATACTATAACTCAGATACTACACTATGGCTTTTCAAATGTGTAGATAAGAATTACATTCATGTTCAAATATGAAGTTACATCATAGAAACTGTTTGTTTGTTGACCCCTTACAAGCATTTCCTCTAGCCAACCAATGTGAAAACTCAGGGTGTCAGTATAGTATGCTGGTTAAGATGGTGAACTGAAGTCAGTTACTACCTTGAAATTCTAGTTAATTAACATTTCTATACTTCCTTATCTGTGAAATGGAAACAATAACAGTACTTACTTTACAGTTACTGTGACTATTAAATGAGATAATATACATAAACATTATAAACACACAATGTAAAAACATAATAATATAGTTACTACTATTTTTTAAAATTTTTATTGGCGTGTAGTTGATTTACAACGTTGTGTTAGTATCTGCTTTACAGCAAAGTGAATGTTTTACATATATCCACTCCTTTAAAAATATTTTCCCAAATAGACCATCACAGAGTATCAAGTAGAGTTCCCTGTGCTATACAGTAGGTCCTTATTAGTTATTGATTTTATTTATAGTAATGTGTGCGTGCCAATCTGAATTCCCCAACTTCTCCCTCTCCTCTTTACTATCATTACCTATTTATGTAATGATAGCTACCTAAAAAATAGGAGGCTGAGTCATAGGGGGGATATATTAGGAGTATGGGATTAATAAATATACACTACTATACATAAAATAAGGACTTCCCTGGTGGTCCTGACTAAGACTTCAGGCTGTCAGTGCAGAGGGCCTGGGTTGTATCCTTGATCAATGAACTAAATTCCACA